TTTTGAGATTGGTGAGCAATGTGCAACTTTGGGCTAGAAACCCAACTGAGTGTTGAGAACTCAGTGGGCTGTTCTGCAGCAGCTCGGGAGATAAGGATATGAGAGCCTTATCAGGGCCTTTTGCTATTTTGAATTGTGATTCTTTTGTTGTGATTAGCTGGGGCTGAAGAGTCAGCCATGATTAACAAGAGACCAGTGCCACTGAAGTGATACCTTTGCATTACTGGGACAATTGATGCTGATTAGCCTGGGCTAAGAAATTAGCACTGATTAAGAAGAGACCAACATGATGGCTCAGAGGCTAAGAGCATTGCCTGCTCTTCCAAAGGTCCTGAGTTCAATTCCCAGCAACCACGTGGTGGCTCACAACCATCTGTAATGGGGTCTGGTGCCCTCTTATGGCCTGCAGGCATACACACAGATAGAATGTTGTATACATAATAAATAAATAAAAAATATTTAAAAAAAAAGAAGAGACCAACATCATTGTGTTGAAGTCATTTGGGAAGTGTTTTCTCAGGGTTAGTACACAGAATCTGTGTTCCAGAAGTGGCTGAGGATGTACCTTGGGCCTGCAGCCAAATTTGGTAGTGTAAGCTTCATGCAGGTGGTTCTGGTTTTGAAGGTCTAACAGGATCATGGAGAGCAGCTGAGGGTTTGCAATGTGTGACATGGCAGGGCAGGAGTCCCTGAAGTGAGGCTAGGAGAGGCTAGTGGAGAAAGTGCAGTGTAGATACAGCAAGAGATTGTTGACAGAGATTTCTGTTCCACCAGATCCCTCAGCCATTCAGTCCCAATGAAGCACACAGAGGTCTACATTTATTATTAACTGGTTTGCCTAGTGGCTCAGGATTCTTATTAATTAATTCTTACATCTTAAATTAGCCCATTGTTCTTGTCTATGTTAGCCATGTGGCTCGGTACCTTTCATCAGTGAGGCATTTCATCTTGCTTCCTCTGTGTCTGGGTAATGACGGCAGACTGACTCTTTCCTCTTCGCAGCATTCTCCTGTTCTTGTCACCCCACCTCTACTTCCTGCCTCGGACCTTCCACAAGGCAATGCGCCTTACCCTCTCTGAGGATTGGATGGAGGTGGGGTAGGAGGGTGTGTGGAGGGAATGGGAGGAGGGGAGTGAGTGGGAACTTGGGTTGGTATTTTTTTTAATCTAATAAAAATAGTTTTTCTTAGTAATGGACACATTGTTTATAAAATATATTGCTTTGTTAAAAAGAAATAGAATGGGAGAGGATAAAATGTCACACATCACATGAAAGCATAAATGGGGTGGGCAAAAAATAGTTATTTGTAAAATGCTATAAAGAGACCCAATTCCTGGTCAGGCAATTAAAAATACAAACCACAACAAGCATCAATTAAAGGTAACTATCAGAACACTCTTGTATATGACATTGCCTACAAAAGATCATTATGTGATAAAATGATTCACACTCTTTAAAATCGTCATGGCTACTGCCAAGAAAGCAATGAACTCAATAGTAACTGAATTATGATAAAACTTTAAACCTGTAAAGTGCTATGACTGGCTACCTAAATGTATTCACCGAAGACACTGACAGGGCTAAACTGAGCATTAATAATGAGGAGTCAGACTTTCAGGGGTACTCCATTAGAGCCACTTACAACTAGTACAGAAGACTTGGCAGTAGGGTTGACCAAATATCAGGCTATGAGATAACAGCATGAAACTTCGCCACCTGACTCAACAAGCTCAGGGCACATGACCGATCATAATCACCCCGGAAGCCTGAGAAGAAGGGCAGCAGCACAGAAGTAAAGCACCTGCTGTGCACTGAGTCCCAAGGTGACGATCAATAGCACAGGAAGAAGAAAAGCTTGAAGGATAAACTAAAGTGGTGCATAACCAAGTAATATAGCTGAGAAACCAAGACACAAATGAACCAAAGGGCATGGATCCCAAGTGGTTCACTGAAGTGAAAATGCTGAGCAGAAGAAAAAATGAAGTTTCATAGTCACCTTATGTAGCTGGCTAGCCAGTTTAAACACGCATTGCAATCTTCTAGTAATCAATTTTCTTATTTTCATCACTATTTTAAAACAGATATATATTTATACAATCTGGAGTAGACCTGAGCAGGATGCAAAAAAAAAAAATGATGAGAGAGTCACTAATTAAGATGAGGGTTTGCTCCTAAACCTTCTTTTATCCTACTACAGAAAACAAGGCAGTAGATTGGTTTCAGAAGAATAGTATTGACATTTTAGCTTTATTTTTTTTTTAAAAATCACACATTCTAGGTGCTAGGGAGATGGATCAGCAGTTCATAACACTTGTGAAGCTCTTTCTAAGGACCCAGGTTTGGTTCTTAGTACCCACGTGATTCCTGTAACAAGCTGTTCTAGGAAGCTCGACAGCTTTTGAACTGTGAGAACAATAGACACACATGTAGGCAAGACATTTATACACATACATAAAATAAAAATGAATAAAATCTTAAGGAATAATACTGCTAAACTAGTGGATTTTCAGTGGGTTACCCAAATGACTGTGGTTTAAATACAGCTACCATGAATTTCAAAGCATTGTGAATTGACAGTATTCTTTTAAAAATTATTACTTATTGTTAGAAATATAGCCCTCCTTCCTCTCTTTTGAATTCATAACCAAAACCAATCAAGAGGTAGATTTGTGGAACCCATTCCAAAAGGATGTATCTATAAAACATGCTAACCCTAAGGCTCAGGGCTCATTGTAGAAGAGAGAGTGGAAAGCTTGTAAGTGTCAGAGGATGAGGGAGTTAGCAGTGATACGTATCTCCTAGTGATGTCAGAAGCTACACCCATGAAGTATCTCCAGCATGACTGCTTAAAAGATCTGAACAAGAACAGCAACAATCGATGTGTAAAGTGGATGGATGAAAGTCCATGAGGCTTCAACATCACACGAAGAAGCTCAGAAAATTTGGAATTGCAGAGAGGGGGAGAAATATCTTTTTAAGGGAAGAACATGCCAACTGGATATACGACGCCATCAAATGGTCAACCCTGAAAGCATACATACAACATTATACAGACTAAGCAGACTGTACTTATATATTGGGAAATATGTATGAACTATATATATACATACATATGTGTGTGTGTGTGTGTGTAGCAGCATATAAAGAAACAAACAATGTACTTCTTTTTAAGGCTACAAAGGCCATATATTATTATTATTATACATTATGAATGCTTGTGACTGTAATGTTTAATGTTTAATCAATATTGCCTAAGTAACAATTTCCAGAGAAAAGATAATTGCAGCTAATAAAAATGTTTGTGATCTGGGAAGTGTAGTAACATGAGCGGCGGGGCTGCGTCCCCAACACCCCAGCCGCCTGCCCGGCTAGCTTATGCCCCAAATAACAACACACAAACTGTATTCATTTAATCACTGCTTGGCCCTTCTGCCCTAGCCCTTACTGGCTAATTCTGATATCCCGATCAACCCATCTCTAATAATCGGTGAGCACCGGTCTTACCGGGAAAGGTTCAGCATATCTAACCTGGCGGCTTGCTTCATGGCGTGTGTCTGCCCAGGAGCCGGGAGCATGGCGTCTCAGCAGAGACGCCATGCCCTGCTCCCTGGCAGACACACGTGATGAAGCTCGGACCCAGGATGGACTAGGCTAGAATCTCCCCGGTAAGCGCACCTTGGGGTGCTACACACAGATGATTAGGAATGGGCTAAATTAATATGTGAGAATTAGCCTAGAAGAGAATGGGCCAAGCAGTGATTAAAAGAATACAGTTTGTGTGTTGTTATTTCGGAGCATAAGCTAGCCATGTGGGCGGCCGGGTGTGGGGGACGCAGCCCTGCCGCCCCTATTACTACAGGGAAGCACTTGGTATAAAATAATATCAAAAATATCTGATTTGAAATTTTAAGTACAAGTTCTTATGGCTAGTAGCATAGCAAGATTTTGAGATTTTTAAGAACAAACGTCATGGCCTGAAATTTTGATTAATCACATTAAACTTGTGTTCATTAGGTTACTTTATTATATGTAAATCTGAACCACAATGATTGACATTGATCAGAATCAAAGTCCAGTTCTTATATGTACATGTTTGAAATATTAACAGACAGTTAAAAACAAAAAACATGTCTTTCTAAAGATCCAGTTTCTGTTTCATCTGTAGTGAGCCCTTAGACGAGAGATTTGACAATGAAATCTGACATTTACAGAAACTTCAAGGTACAATTTGATGGAAAGTCAGTTATTAGACTGTTATTAAACCAAGTTATTAAACCTTCAAGGTATTTTTTCTTATCGTTTTGCAAGATACATGTGTAAAGTATTATAAGCGTGAAACATAAAAATGTATGTTAACAAGCACTTTCAGTGCCTGACTGAAATGTCCTTTTAACTCTTTGCTGAAGAACTTTGGACTTTTCATGTGTCTTATAAACTGTGGCTTTTCCTCACATGTATTACCTACCAGCAGGGACTTTGGAAAAGTTGCCAGTAACTGAAATCTGAAGGGGTTAAATAAGTGTTGATATGCAGGAACCAAGGCCGGATAGTCAGAGATAAATAATCTTTTGATTTTCATAGTTTATATGTTTATTGTTTGTTTTATTTCCTATTTCCTTTTTTATGATACTTTATGACCACACGATTTGTCACAGATGAAAGGGACACCGGCTTTCAGTACATTTCTTTAGAACAGTGTAGATAGTGTTCATTGCTGTAAAACTCTTAAATGGAATCAAAACAAAACAAAGCACAGCACGAAACTGTGAAGCTGGGACAGAGTAACTCGCTCATTTTCGATTGCAGAGGCGCCTCCCCGCCCTTCTTTCTTTCCAGGAAGCCTGTCTGTGATGGTAGAGGCAGACCCCCAGCACTCTCTGAAGGCGTGACCACTGTACTCTTGCCATTAGTCTCTGAGCAGATGTCAGTCAGGAAAGCAGGGCCAGCGCCAGATCAAGTTGCTGCTGCCAGCTCTCGCGAGCTTTGTCAGTAAGAGTTGACTGAATGTCAGAGCTGTGCAATTCACAGGCGGAGCGGCGGCTGCATCCCGCCTTTCCCCGAAGTGTTACATGATTGCCACTTGGCAAACTCGTCAGCATCCTTTTCTGCACAGATTCCGGTGAGTTGCTCAGAATTTGCACCCCTGATGAGAAGGTTCCGGTGAAGAACCGGCTGAGACAGAAAGGCGGTTTCTTCAGGGTGTGCGGAGCCCCTTTGCTGCTCCGTTGGGAACAGTCTCTGACTAGCAAGTGGGACAGAGGAGACTGGCTAGCAGGCACTGCATCAGAGCTTTCTATTAATCCAGAAACACAAATTCAATTCCTTTCGTCGCAGAGGCTATGCCGAATTTGTTTAACTTTGCTTGAAGAGATACAGCACCTGTGGAGTCTTCCTTATTTATTTATGCTCTCTCTAAGGACACTTATTTAGGGCTAGGGTTACTCTTTAATGCAGGATTAATCGCCTTCTTCTTAACAACAAAAGCACTGTTTGGGCAACCTTGACTTATGTCCAATATCATCTCTTTTGCAATGACATGTATTAATTTTCTCTTATTACTTAACTTTTATTACTCAACATTTTGTCCCCTGAAACTTTCGCAACATCAGCCGGCAAGCAGAAAGCAGCAGTTCCTTCTATGTCTAAGAAAATCGATTTCCTAATTTGCTCTACAAGTAGCCACTCCTCCATTACTGACCACTGTTGAATGTTTAATCTGGAGTAAAATATTTTATGTTTCCATTGTTTTATTATATATAGGAATACTAAACAAATAGAGAGTTTTCGGCTTCTAGATTTTTGGAAACCTGAGATTTTTATGCTATCAGATTTTCTTGAGTCATTGACTATAAAATTTATGAGACCAAAAGAAAATTGAAGTATAAACAGTTATTTTTATCAGATTCCTATGGGTTATACATTTTTTTCATAAGCAGGTATTCTGTATTTGTAAGAATGTATTCCAATTAGCAGGCCCAATGCTTCTTTAATATAGACTATAGACTTCAGAATATTTATAATAAATATGACTACAATTCATTTTGATAAAATCATATTTGAAGTTAGCAGGCTTTTAACATATGTTTTAATGATATGAATCATAACTCTGGAGTTCTTGTAGACAAAAGACCATTGCTTTAAGATGCCAAATCTAATGTCTAGCTAGATTTTAAAAGGCATGCTTTATTCTTCTATTTCTGCGTTATATTTGTTGATATAGAATATCCAGCATCTTTAATTTTAGGAAAAAATCTGAAACTTATTTCATATTATATTTTTATAAAAGATAAGTGAAGAAGATCTTACAGGGTCATGAATATATTTGCCTTTATAAATTTAGCCTTTAATTTGATTCATTACTTGGTTACAAGTGATAATGCTGTTTACATTTCATCCTTGTCTTTGTTTTGACATTTTGCCAAAGACTGCTTATTCTTACTGAAATCGATTGTCTCTGTTGTTATCAAACCTGGAGGCCACAGCCTTTGCCTGAAGCCAGGTTTGGCCACACAGGTCCTTATTAAACCAATTGAAAGAACTAAACTAATAATGGAAAGCAGAAAAGGGACATGTATTCATTGTGACCACATTGCGAAAAGGGACAAAGACTTCCCTCCCATAGCCCACAGCCCTTCTTTATGGCCTGAAGTGAGACTGGAGTTTAAACAGTGACCCAGGAATGTGCCCATCCAACACATCCTGGGTAAGGTTTGGTACCTCTCAGCATTGACTTAGCATTTGCCTAGTCTTCAATTTCATACTGCCAGGTGTTCCCACACGTTGTTGGAATTGTATGAATCTCTCCCAAGAATGTATTTTTCTTTTTATAATGTGCGTTTCCTGGGGACATTCCCCTTTCTCTGGGTTCCGTTGTTTTGGCAGTATTGTCACTGAAAGAACCAAGTGCCTCTTCACAGTTTCACTTCTGCCAGGCCATCACAGCCACAGTTGGTAAATGTCAGTAAATGACAGCAAGCAGAGAAAATGCAGCTTCCAAAGAACACCCAACAAATTTAACAAGTTAATATTCAGTAGTGTCCATTGTGACTTTGCTCAGGAATAGATCTCGAGTTCTCCGAACTCATCTGTCATCTTCTGTCTACTTGGATGTCTTAGCAGACATCAAAGCTCTGTGGAAGACCATGTTATAGTCCATTTATGCACAGATTTCCACAAAAGTCCACTTTTCTTAGCCTGAAACCAAACAGTGCTGGATTTGGTATAAAGACTTAGCTCTTTTAGTCAAATAGAATTCTCATACTCCTCCTGGATCTTTCTAGTATAATCTTGACTACACTTTCCCAACACATTTTAAAAATCCCAATTTCCAAATAAGATCCGCTAATTTTATTGATATTTTTAAGACAGGAACACAATACCCAGAGAACATTATTGAGAGCCTTTTAGATCTTTTCGTAACATATTTCCATTACCTTAAACTTTTCGCAAACAAATCATTTTTACAGATAAGTGATAATAAAAAATGTTTTAAGTATAAATCATTTTAAGTATCCACATATTAAGGTATAATGACATTGTAACTTTTCTCATAAAAGTGTCTGGAGAATTTAGATTTCAAATTTGAATTTTTTTTTTGAAAAGATGTGAAGTACATTTTACTTTAAAAGTTAAAATTTTAAAAAGTTTAGAATTTGTAAAATGTTAGCAGTAAAATATGCTGTCAAGTAGCATTTGTTAAACTTGAATTCCTTAGTCAAGGTTCTTTTTCCCCCCACCTCTATCACCTCTTTACTTTGGCCTCATGAGCAAAGTCTCCTAATCTTTTTAAATATTAACTGCCATTTCAAGGAATGAGCTTATCTACATTAAGATAGCTGTATTCGGTGTGAAAGTTTGTTTCATTTTTTATGATAAGCACGTTTCCCTGAGTTTAATATTTTATTTTTTAGCAGTCGCCAGTTGTACCACAATATGAGCGATGCAATGGAGCTTTATAGAATTCTAAATTATAATTAAAAACAAGCTAATAAATTAATTTTGACGGCTTAGTTATTTATTTCTGTTTTGATTGTGTGATGAATAAATATTAAAGTCTGTCTTTAGTATAGAAGTGCAGAGTACCATGGAATAATGTCAGATTACAAAAATAATAATGTTGATTTAAATGCAGCACATTTAGACTGTACTGAATGTGGGAGCGTCTGCTTTTTCCTTTTAGCACTGCAGATTTACTGATATGGCATATAACTTCTCCGTGGGTAATTTGGGAGAAAGAACTGATCTGCCATCTTTTACATTATATGTACTTGTGGTAGTTGTTTCTAATGGTACACTTTATATTACATACAAGAAAGTCTCATAGGCGTCATTATTGAGAAGATGATTCTAATTCATATAAACAGCTCTGGAAATTTAAGGTCCATTTGGAGGAAAATGGATATTCAATCACAGGAAGAAAAGCTATATTAATATAGATACCATGGAACCACTGGGTGATAGCAGCTGTTCTAGAATATTATAAAATTACCATATATAGTCCAAGCAAATAACAATGGAGGTAACTGTATTTACTGCACAAGAAACTGTTGAAGATCTGTTTGTGTGTGCATGCAATTATGCACATGGTCTGTATGTATTCATATGCACAAGGTTCTGTATGTATTCATATATATTATGTTTGTTAGTGCATTTGTGTCCTCAGGCATGTTCACATGGTTAGTGGAGGCAAGAGGTTGATGTCGTGTCTTCTTTGATCACTTTCCACTTTCCTTTCAGAACGAGTCTCCTACAGAACCAAGTCTCACAGATTCTTCTTGGCAGTTTGGCTGAGCAAGCCCCTAGGATCTCCTTTTCCCTCTCCTGAATTGTCTTGGTCACAGAGGGGCACCACCACACCTGGATTTTATTGTGGGGATTGGGTTTCTGAGCAAAAGTCCTGGTTGTTGAGCAAGTCCTATACCAATGATGGCAAATCCCCAACCGCTAAACAAAAGTTTAAGTTATCAAAAATTGCTAGAAATTGAAATTATTAACATTTAATTTGATCTTTATAAGATAATATTTAAGCAAAATGTAAGAAAAACAGCCCAGATCATCTTTGCAGTGGACAGGGAAGGAACCTACAGTTCACACACCCAGAGACAACAGCCAGGGGTTCTAGGCTAGCTTACTGAAATATGTTTAGAACAGACAGGTCCAGCACCTTGTCATTTTCTCTTGTCAAAGCTGATTTTCAAAAATGACAAAAAACAAAACAAAACAAACAAACAAAAAACCCTCCACATGGCTTTTTCTGTTCTCTTTTTTAAAGAGAAAGGGTTTTGTTATTATCAGGGAAAAAGTACAGAAGTCATGAAGAACAGAAATCAATGCATACCTCCTATCCAAATATTAAATTACCTCAGTACCTGTCAAGTTCCCAGACCTCTACATTATCATTATATGTTTGACTATCATTACTTACAAATTACACTCACTGTGAGTACAATATTTAAGTATCCCATGAAACTTACAAAAGTATGTTTCAATAATACATTTAAAGGATCTTAGCACATACCCAATTGTATGAAAAATGCATTACGAAACAACAACAAAAACCTGTGACTTGATTTTAAAACCTGAACATATTATCATAGCCATCAACTCATACATAGACTTATTTACATGAAATAAGTCTAGTTTGGACAGATACAGATATTAATAAAATTATCCAAAGATGTAGTCATAAAGTGTTGGGTTCAAAAATAAGTGTTGCTATTATGGTTTATTTTATTTATGTGTTTATTGGGATTTCATTGCTAGATTTCCCGTGAGCAGGGGTAAATGATACTGATTTAAAATTAGCATCTTATAAGTATAAAGTGTGGGAAGGTGATTTGATGGGTAAAGGGTGGAAAAAGAGAAGAAATTCTGAGTTGTCTTCTGATTTTCAACTTAAACTGTGGCACACTTGTCCCACCTCACAATTAAAACAAATGTAAGTAAACTAAAAATAAGATATTCTTCATGGTCAGGGAACATAGGTCTCACATCTGTTTCTTTCTCATGACCTAGCAAAACAAACTTGATTATACATACAGAAAGTCTTAGGAAATGGTTGGTGATGATAGGATTAGTTTCCTGAGCAGGCAGGTGAGATTTAAAACTAGAGCATTAGAAAAGGTTACAGGAGGTCTGTGCATTTGTGAGTGCTTGCCATTGTTATGTGAATGAAAACCAGTGTCTGTTAATGAATATTTTAATTGTGTTTCTTGAAACTATATAAATGAACATTGATTCCTTTTTAATATTTGCATATTCATTTTTATCCGATGGAGTTTGGAAAGTTTTATTTCAAAGAAACTGATTTTTATGTTATGAATTGTAATAACACTGTGACCAGACAAAAGAGTCTTCATATGACCATAAATAAATATTACCTAACTACAATATTAGATACATTTCATTTTGTAGTTTATAAAGATCACTCTTGCCTCTTCCACTTATTCCAGTCATTTCTCAGCATTGGGTCCTCTGATTTCAATGACTTGTGTACACCGTAAAAATGCATGAGTATCCATGACTTTGCTAGCAAATATATTTAACTAGTTTATGTTTGCTTCAATCAGTTTACAAATTATTTGTTGTTAGCCTTGTAAAATGTCTGTCTAGGGCAATGTCATCTCTCACATAAATATCACTTGGGTCTCCCACCGAGGAGATTGTGATTCTTGCAGAAAACTCTCATCTTTATCAAAAAAATTGAGAGAACTTCCCTTAAACCTACAGGTAATACAGCTCAGCAGCCTGTGTTTAATAGCCAGAGGAAAAAACTGGCTTGTTAGTGTTGATATTTGTAACTAAATTACATTTGCTTAATTTTTAACATTTTGCAAATAAATTGTCTCAATTTTCTTTTGAAACAAACTAAGATTGTATAGAAGAAAAATATACTTAAAAGGGGGGGCTATTAAAAAAAAACATGGAATACAGGAAGACAGTACATGATCAGTGACTCCAGATTTCTCGATATTCTTAACTGACTTCCGTCATTCAGCCATGCTATTTCAGAAAACAATTGTGTTTTCCCCTCCAGTCACGTAGAAATTACTTCTGACATGTCCTCTCGTAGCTAGTCCTCATTTAATGTAGCCATATGTACTGAATGATAGCATACACACCTGGGACAAACTAGAGTGCTTAAACTTCTTACATATACTTAAAAAATTTTTTCAAGGCAAGATCAAATATATTTCCTTGCTATGTTTTTTTTTCTAAGTGGTTAGCAATTGATTTTCTTCTTAGTACTTATACATATCCGAGGTTTAGTAACATATTCATTAGGTCTCATAAGTTTAGAGTAACTAGGAACTACTGTATTTTAGTGATTAATCATCATTGGGCCATAACACAGCATCTCCAAGGCTGTTGAAACCTTTTGCTTACTTTTCTCTTAGAAATCAGCATGCAGTTCCGGGGCACCACCGTCACAGAGACCCACTTCCTCCCGTACATTTTTCTTCTCTGCGTGGTTTTTGGGAAGTCACCCGCTGAAGAAGACTTCATAGTCACAACCAAGGCTGGTAGAGTCCGGGGACTGAGCCTACCTGTTCTCGGTGGCACAGTGACTGCCTTTCTCGGGATTCCCTACGCACAGCCTCCTCTTGGTAGGCTAAGATTCAAAAAGCCACAACCCTTAAACAAGTGGTCTGGCATCCAGAATGCCACCAAATATGCGAATTCCTGTTATCAGAACATAGATCAAGCCTTCCCCGGTTTCCAGGGGTCGGAAATGTGGAATCCGAACACGAACCTCAGCGAAGACTGCTTGTATCTGAATGTTTGGATTCCAGCACCTAAACCAAAAAATGCCACCGTCTTGGTATGGATTTACGGTGGTGGCTTTCAAACTGGGACATCCTCTCTAGCTGTTTATGATGGGAAATTTCTAGCTCGGGTTGAAGGTGTTATTGTAGTTTCAATGAACTATAGGGTAGGTGCCCTAGGATTTCTAGCTTTACCAGGAAATTCTGAGGCTCCGGGGAACATGGGTTTGTTTGATCAACAGTTGGCACTTCACTGGGTCCAAAGAAACATAGCTGCCTTCGGAGGGAATCCTAAAAGTGTAACGCTTTTTGGAGAAAGTGCAGGAGCAGCCTCTGTGAACTTTCATTTGCTTTGTCCCCAAAGTTACCCTTTGTTTACCAGAGCCATTCTGGAAAGTGGATCCTCTAATGCGCCCTGGGCAGTAATGTCTCCGGAGGAAGCCAGAAACCGAACTTGGACCTTAGCTAAATTTACTGGCTGCTCAAAGGAGAATGAGACAGAGATGATTAAATGCCTTCAAAATAAAGACCCTCGGGAAATTCTTCTGAATGAAAGGTTCATTCTCCCCACTGATTCCCTCTTATCGGTTTATTTTGGTCCAACAGTGGATGGCGATTTTCTCACTGATATACCCCACACACTGCTCCAACTCGGACAAGTGAAAAAAACTCAGATCTTAGTGGGCGTTAACAAAGATGAAGGGTCATCTTTTCTAGTGTATGGGGCTCCTGGCTTCAGCAAAGACAACGACAGTCTCATCACTCGGAGGGAACTTCAAGAAGGTTTAGATATGTATTTCCCAGGAGTGAGCAGCTTGGGAAAGGAAGCAATTCTTTTTTACTATGTGGATTGGTTAGGTGACCAGACACCGGAAGTTTACCGGGAGGCTTTGGACGATGTTGTTGGGGATTACAATCTCATCTGCCCTGCACTGGAGTTTACCAAGACATTTTCAGACCTTAAAAATGATGCTTTTTTCTACTATTTCGAACACCGGTCTTCCCAACTTCCTTGGCCTGAATGGATGGGAGTGATGCATGGCTCTGAAATCGAATTTGTCTTTGGTTTACCTCTGGAAAGAGGCGCAAATTATACGAGAGCTGAGGAAAATTTGAGTCGATCCATAATGAAATTTTGGGCAAATTTTGCAAAATACGGGTGAGTGCTGATTTCTGTAACCGTCGCCTGGTTTGTTTTGCTTCATTTTGCTTGGCCTCTACTGCAGACTTCACTAGAAGCACAGAAACATTTCCAGTACCTTCTCTTACTAGCTAAGCTGCCTTGGTAGCTCATTATGCGGTGAATTTCAGCTTTGTTTCTCAGTGCATAAGAAAAATTACCGGAAAATTTTTCTGTAAACTATTTTTTTTTTACTTCATTTCCAAAACGTTGCCAAAACACTTAAATGATGTTAACCAAAGTTTGGAAGTAAATGCTTGCATCAGAATTACAATAGGTTACTAGGTTTAAGAAAGGGAAATACTGTGTCTTCTCATTGTCTTTAGCCTGGGTCAGTGACGTCGGGCAGAGGAGTAAGCATGTCCCTCTTAGGAATATGAATGTGGCGAGAATATGAGGCAGTTCTCCTACCCCCTTAAACTCAAGTCTCATAGCATCAGAGTTTTGCAGTTTGGCTCTAGAAGATTCTATCAGACCTTTTAGGTAGCCTGCTTCACTTGACTCATGTTTATCTAAATTGTTTTTCTATTGGAAGAGTTTTGTGGCTAGCTTTCATCTTATCTTTGTGATGTTGTTCTGGACTCATAATAAAATATAGGCTATCCCTAATTGCAAATGGGTCCACTGGGGCTTGTCTTCATTAGGATATTGCGGAGTTGATACAGTTCACTAGAAATCATACTTTGGATTTATCCTTTTCTGGATTAGCAATATGAGGAATTAGAGTCTCTCATGATGTTGGATATCCCTGACAGTGAGAATTTAGCTCCAGCCCACACGCTTTGTAGCAAAGCAGCCAGCTGTCTTGACATTCTACCTTGCTAAGCTACACTAGTTCCTCTAAGTCTATTTTCAATATTGCCTGCTCCGTCATAAGAAGAGTCTAGGTTTACTCCATCATAAACCTAGAAGCATGTATAATCTCTTGGAATTTACCCCCCCCCCCTTATTCTTCTAATCTTTAAGACAGGCTTTCCCTATATTGCTCAAGCTGGCCTGATGTTGATGTTTGAAAATTTTAAAACAGTTCATATTTTCACGTTAATAATAAACTAATAATTCCCCTGTTCCCATTAACAGTGTTAATAGAATATGTCTAATATCTTATTTATGATACATAGCTTCAGATCAAAGAGGAGAGTCTTTGACATTTAATGGAATCGTTTAACCCTAATTAAATACACTTCTGATGAGCGAGTTTTCCTGGGGAATAAATGAAGGCTGGCTTATTAATTATAATGTGAAACTTATAAAATGATATTTATAAAACAAATCAAAAAAATTTAAAATAGCCTTACAAAGTAGAATATTCACACGATAGATGTCACTGTTAAGGAAATTTTCCTCAGAGTCCATATTTTTAGTTGAACAAAGGAAGATGTCATGTATGCTTCGAAATGAATGATAATACTAACAAGTGATAATATTAAGTGAACTTTAGACATGCTTGCATTCTACACTTCTCAAGTTTAGACAGTTTGCCTTATATACCACCCTGCTGGACTTGGAGGACACTGGACCTGGAGCCCATTTTGGGGTGGTGAAAAGTATGATCTAATGCCTAGAACACCTAACAAACACTTAATATTTCAAAATGTTAGCAACACCAAGATTGAGAACATGTGATAACCTGTGTTTACCCACACTCCCTAAATGTGTTTTCAAGAAAGGAAAAGTGAGTGATAGGTCTCCTTAGTGCCTTATTCCACGGGAAACGCGAGTGCACTATCTGCCCATTCGGCAGCCCCGGGATGCAGGACAATCAGACGTGATAAGGATCAAGTCAAAGCAGAAACTCAGTTTTTTAGTGTGAGCATCAGCTTTTATAGGTTAAGTGACATCATGTGTTGTGGGGGTACCTCCAGCCAATGAGAAACAGCTGTCTCCTCCTCACTTGGTAGCTTTGAGACTATCCTTTAAACTTGAGTCAGGCTTTTCTCTGTCCTACAGACCTCAAGGTACAGGCCCTGAGATAATTTGGCCCAGCAGAAAAGTAGGCTGTGGCTCTTTAAAATTTTGGCACCCCCGCTATCAAAAGATCTGAACTCTTTTCTTTCTATTAATCTTCATGTCCTAGCCTATATTAAAGAGAGGTGGAGTGGGATTTGAAGCTGTGCTTATCATTTAGGAAGGAGAATTTCATGTTTCCACCACAGTTCCAATCAATTACTCTTACATGTTAGTTAAATATATGTGGGATGCTCATATGCTTCATTGGTATATAATTTTCATACCTAGTTTGATAAACTTTGACTAATGTCTATAATTCATCATCCTGCAGAGTTGCTCATTTTGCATGGCTCTTTTCTTATTTAGTTTTCATGCTTGCTCAGTACCCTGCACAAACTTCAGTCTGACAACTTTTGATCTGTCCAATATGCCTGTAATCAGACTAACAACTCAAAAATGCCTGATGTAGGTATTTTGGTTAGATTGTTTTTGGCTCGTAGAGGAAGCATTGTCACTATAGATGAAGACATCTCATTTAACATTGTTTGAGTCTTCTATAGTTTTTATTTTATTTTATTCCTCCATAACTGGAGTTACTGACTTTGTAAGCTGCCAAGTGAGTTCTGGGAATTGAACCTGGGACATCAGGAAGGTCAGCCTGGGAGGATAGCCAGTTTTTTTTTTTTTTTTTTTTTTTTTTTTTTACCACTGAGCCTTGTATTATAAGTTTTTTAAGGTATATGTGATACAATGATCCCTTATGACTTTTTCTTAATGTTATTTCATCTTCCTTCCTGCTTCTGTATTTACATTCCCTCTCACTAAGTAGAACCTTTTTTTGTGTTTTATTTATAGTTGCTACTTTTTGAAGAAATTTGTTTATTTTTATTTAATGTGGAGCATTTTGCCCATATATATCCTAAATATGCCTGGTTATCTTGGAGGCCGTGAGTGCATAAATCCAGGAATTGTAATTCCAGCCACTTGTCAGCTACCATGTAGGTATTTGGAACTGAAATCGGGACATTTGGGAAAGTAAGAAGTGATAAATGCTTTTAATCACAGAACCAACTCCTTAGCCTACTTCTTCATCTGAGACATGGGCTTCTGTTTCTCACAGATTATGTTACAGTTCAATAACCTATCTATAAGGATTTTTCTGCTTGGGAATATTATGAACAGTTTTGTGAATGTTTTTGTATAATATGTTATACTATATTTTCTTTGTTGGGGGAATGAAGGAACACAGGGATAGGGATTTCTGGTATGCTGTTGGGGACCCTCCCCCAATCTCCTCGGTTATGGATGACCCGGGGTAGTGCCGCAGAAATCAGGACACAGGGGATGCAGGGTAGGAGATACAACTGCATACTTTATTGCAAAGCCAGTGCTCTCTTTATAATACTCAAATCACGATTCAAACTAGGTTCCCATAATACATGAAAATAGTTTCATAGACTAGTCACTTGGTTGCGACTAATTTCAAGAGCTTCATGCCCTAACTAATCTAAACAAAAAGCTAGGTGTTATGAGAAAAACTCTTATTGTAATATAATATGTAAAAACACCTCATCAGAAGACAAACCACAACCTAATCAGAGCCTTTGAACTACAGTGCACATCTGTGCTCTCAAGGACTGACCATTGGCAAGGCACTCTACTGATGGGAGAGGTTTGCCTCCTCCCAACTTGGTTTGCCAAGCCTATCAGCAAGAATGCTACCTCAAGTCTCCCTTGCACAGAGTTTCTATGCAGTTCAAAACCGGCCCTCTACAGTGTGCCAACACAATCAGTACTCTGCATCTTCAAGGAGACTAGGAATAATCATTTTTTTAAAACTATTCTAGTTCTGCACCAAGATCTCATGGTGGTTTAGTGCATGCTCTCTGCTCTCCCTCTCCTAGTGTGTGTGTGTGTGTGCGCGCGCGCGCGTGCGTGTGCGTGCGTGTGTGTGTGCGTGTGCGTGCGTGTGTGTGTGCGTGTGCGTGTGTGTGTGTGCGTGTGCGTGTGTGTGTGCGCGCGCGCGTGTGTGTGTGTGCGCGTGTGTGTGTGTGACGGCAGGGATAAGGGCGGAGAGAGGACTAATATTAGTCTGCATGCGATATGGAGATAAATTTAAATTTGTGAAGGACTGTCATCTGGCCATCTGTTCCAATTCTTATCAGACATATAATTAGATTTTGTGATAGATAATAGTTCGTGTGGTGGTTCCAGACTGACGAAAAATATACTTACCCTCCAATTCTGTAATTATTTGTGGTATATTATCATAATTAACCCTAACAGAACATTTTGATGACTTTGCAGAAAAACCAAGCCTAAAATCCCCATGGATATATTTTGTCCCTACCTTGACAGTTTGGATTTTTACTATTTCAGCTCTCTCTTCCCCTAGGAATAGGTAAGGACTTACTTAGAAATAGATGAAACAATAAATGCTAACTGCAGCATTACTGGAAGTTCTTAGAATATAAATGTAGGCAAAAAAAAAGTCTGATGCATTAATAGAACTTATTTGAAAAGAACATATTGCATTATGGGACAAGTTAAAGTTTAGCTTACATTACCCCGAGAACTATTTCAAAGAAAATCACTATTTTACCATCAATAACAGCAAAATGAGAGGAGGGAGATTCAGATGTTCCCCTTCACCAAAGACTAGATCCATGAAGAAGGGTATAAAAGAAAATATGCTTCAGTGAATATTTTGGAATACACTGTTTTTGTGTGGTTTGGGTAGATGTTATGTTACAATAAGAAGGTATCTTAAATCAGAAACCAATATTTATCACATCCATTTACTTGGAGTAATGCAATTTGTCTTCTATTCATTTCCAAATGTCATCTATATGTTTCTATAGTTTGAAAGTATATAACATTAGCCCATTTGTACATATATCCATCTTTTGTTTTGTTTTGCTTTTTTGGCTTTTTGAGACAGGTTTCTATCTGCCTCTGCCTCCCAAGTGCTGGAATTAGAGGCATGTGCCACCACCACCCATTACTTGTATCCATCTTATTATTAGAAT